GAAGGGGGTTCCACTACTTGGGTCCTTGACTCTTGAACTGCTTGTCCTCCCCAATCTCACCCTGCTGCCTTCTGCCCTTCCTCTCCTTCCTTCTTGGGCCCCTGTCCTGTGCCCTGTCGTGGGGGTTCCCCATCTCAACACTAGTCTGTTCCAGAAATGGACTGAGTGCCTGCTGGGTGCATGGATGATGGGTCCCTGCCCTCGGGGGGCTCACAGCAAGCAGTGGTGAGTGCAGAGTCCAGGGAGCACAATGCAGGTGTGACAGGGTGGTTGAGGGGGATGCTGGGGTCTGAGGGGGCTGCCTGCAGGATGACACAGCTTCTCCCCCTGTAAATAATGAACACTCCAACCTACAGGGAAGCCGTGAGAGCACTTACCACTCAGAACTAACTAGCACGTGCATTTGGTCATTGGTTTCAGGTCTTTTTAAATAAGGGGATGAAAGTGACAGGGACAGTTGAAGGCCCTTTTTTCCCCTTTGCATCTCTTCCCCCTTCAGCCCCAGAGGCTCCGAAATTGGGGTGGGGGGGAGATCTAAACATTTGCTTTGTGTGTGTGTATATCCTTGAACACTTTAAGTGGTGCCATGTGGGTTTAGAATAGTTCTAGAAATGACAATCATGGTCAGTGTCACTGGGCACCTTGTGTTTTTCCTCCCGAGATTAGTTTTGATTTGGGTACATCACCTCAGGTGGTTTATTCATTAGCCCGGCGGGCAAGGGAATCACCGTGTGTCAGTCCCATCCCTGTCTGGGCTTTCAGGTGTGGCCATGGGCATCCTTGTTGTGGGAGTTGGTGTGGGTAAGAGGTTCTTAAGGGGTCCCTGAACTAAGTCCTGGAGGCTGAGCAGAGCCAGCAGACATAGGGGAGCCTCCTGGCAAGGTCTCCAGGAAGCTTCTGGGGAGGGAGAGGGAGGAGCAGGAAGGCTGGGGTGGAATTTGTGAGTAGGGGTCGTTACTTTGGCTGCTGGGTGGGAGAAGGGCTGTAAGGAGACTGCCAGGAAGCCAGTGATGAGGGTGGCCACCACCCTGGCTCTTAAGAGCTGAAGGCCTGGCCATGAGGGTGGCAGAGGGGAGGGAGGACATGTGTAGGCTGGGGAGTCTCTTTGGGGGCATCGGTGTGACCTGGTGATGTATTAGACGGGGTGGAGGGGGTGAGGGGGTGACACAAGGCCTTGAATAGAGGGCATCTCCCAGCCCCTAGCAGCATGTGCCTCCAGGGGCTTTAAGGGAGAGGGGGGAGCTGGGAGGGGAGCACCTGATACTGTAATTCTTGATAATGATTTTTGATACGATAGTGCTGCATTTTAGCCCAGGAGACTTCAGTACCCCATTAAGTCGCTGCTTCCCTGTGCAGCTGCAGCCCCGTCTGCACCTCTTCCCCATGAGCACTCCAGGTCTGGGCACACCCCTATCCTCCAGGTCACCTTCTAGAGGGAGGGCCTCCCAGGGCCGCCCTATGCCCCCTTCCATCTCCTGCCTTCTTGAAGCAGAAGCCTGCCCCTCTGATGGGTGGGCTCTTCATTCTGCAGGCCATTTGCTGACCAGGGCCCGGGGTGGGGCTAGGATTTGGATCCAGGGCCCAGGCCCTTCCCCATAAACCCAGCTCAGGGTCTGGACAATGACCCCCAAGCTGGATACCCTCCCTCAGTGGGGGGCCCTGGAGGTCCCAAAACAACCTGATCAAATGTCCAGGCTTAGAAACTTTTCACCAAAAACAAACTGCTCACAATTCTCTGACACTCGATCCTAATAAAAATTTAAGTACCAAAATGTATGAGAAAACAAGCAAAACTGAAAACCTACTCCAGCTTTTCTTTGCTTTTGGGTTACAACCCCAATCTTTAACATCAGGATAGTAAGTGCTGACTTCCCTCTGTGCTTCCTGGACATCCCAGGAGGGGGTCCAGGGTTGGTTGGTTCATCCTTCAGTGTGGCTGGGGGCCCAGGATGCCCAGCTCTGTGTAAGCTCAGGAGTGAGACGAAGTCCCCACCCTCCCAAAGCTACATCCAGAGGGCTGCAGGTGATAAGCAGAGACTTGTGTCAGATGGAGATAAATATGATGATGGGGGAGAATGGACTAGGGCTGGGGTTAGAAATGATAGGACGCCTCTGACAGGTGACACTGGAGCCATGAGGGTCTCTAGCAGAAATGTCCTAGGTGGGGGAACCGCCTATGCAAAGGCCCTGGGTGGAGGAGTAGAGAGTGGCTAATGTGGGGGGGGGGCACTGGAGGGTCTTGAGTGAGGAGTGCATGGTGGGGGTAGGGAGCCCAAGGGAGTATAGACTCCAGGGGTGGGAGAGGAAGCAGCTCCTGGAGGGGCCCTGTGGGAATCCAGGTAAGTGATGGTGGTGGCCTGGAACAGGGGTGTGGTGAGGAAGGCAGGGAGAAGGCTCAGAATCAGAGAGAGTGCTTTTTCCTTATGTCCCCACCCCCCGCTAAGTTCAGTAAATGCAGTGATCTTAGGGGGACAGCTGGGTGGATCTTCACACATGCCCTGCACCTGTGTGAGTCCAGACCACCCAGGCTGGGGCACAGGACAGGCAGGACAGGAAGAAGCTGGGGTGGGGCTGGGCCTTTAAGATATCAAGTGGACGGTGGATCCTAAGACCCTGGGTCCAGGAGCACCCTGTGGGCAGCTGTACAGTGTCAGTCATCAAAGTGGGAGGGGAGGCCACCCAGGGAGAGGGGAGGAGGGGGAGCAGGGCTAGAGGCGGGGGAGGGAAGAGAGCGGGCAGGGGTGGGCTCCTGGACCTGCCTGTGGGTCTGAAGCCCGACAGTGGGACAGTCAAGGGTGAGAGGTGATGATGGAGAAGGACACGACGGCCTGGCAGCATAGAGCCCTTGGTGGACATAATGGGATTCAATGTGTTCTTCAGGAGGCTCCCTGAGCCTTGAGAGCTTTCTGCCTGCCTTTGGAGTGGGAGCTGTCCAGAGTGCAGCCCCCTCATCCTCCCCCCACCCCATGCTCCTGCCCTTCCCTCATGGGGCAGCTACCTGGATCCCCTCAGCTCAGTCTCCCTCCCTCTCTCCAGGCATCTCATCCCCTCAGCCTTTCCTGCTCCCTGCACTGTCCCCCCAGGTGGGCAGAGGCCAGCTGGACCTCTCTTAGCCTCTCTCTTTGCCTGAGGATAAGGTGGTGAGCAGGCTGGGCTGGTCAGGTAATTCTTGATAATGATCCTCTGGCCCCATTGGCTTTTCATGTTCATTGCTTCATACTTGCAAGCCACTTGTGAAGCCTCCAGAAAGGGAGGATTGGTTGCAGGAGTGAGCTGGACAGATGATTGTGGATGCTGGAGGTCAAGGAAGGCAACTGGGCTGGAAAGGGGAATGCTGGAGACCTCTGGGGTGCACTGTTGGGATCTGGGGGGGCCTGGGTTGGAGGCGCTGCTGAGAGGTGTGATGATGAGGTGGGAACCTTGGCCAGTCTTGGGGGGGGGAAACACTCAAAACTACGTGACCCCATGTATCCTACTCCTCCGCCCCATTTCTCTCCCTCCAGCAGCTGTCACAGCCCATGTGGTACAGTGTGAGCTATGGACGTACCTTGCCCTGGGATGGCTGTCCACTCTGACCCCCAGCCTCCCCGCTTGTCCTTCTGTAACAGGCACCACCTTCCAACCCACCACCACGCAACTTACCTTCTCCTTTGTATTGTTGCTTCTGTCTCTCCCTGTGAGAGGACCTCCAGGGGGACAGGGTCTGTTATGCTCACTATTCAAGGATGTGCTGGGTGCATGTTTGTTGAATGAATGAATGACTGGAGAGACAGATGAATGAAGGGAGGAAGAGGATCCAGGGCAAGGGCAGAACCCATGGAGGGGGAGTGGCGGGGATGGGGGAAGCAGGAGAAAAGGACTGGAACAGCCTGGGTGAGGTCTGACCTGGGGGTTGGGGTGGTCTGCTGAGGGGGGGCTGGGATGTGAGGGTTGAGCAGCTGAGCTGGGAAGGGCGGGGTGGGAAGGGCGGGAGAAAAGCAGGAGAGTAAGTCAAAGCAAGGTTATTTTAGGATGGAACCAGTGGCCAGCTGAGTGGGAAGGCATCTGGAAGGGCCTCCAGCTTTCACCAGAGTAGCCTCAAGCCAGCCCTTGGGGGACCCCCAGTCTTGGATCCAGAACCCCCCAGCCCACCTGAGGCCTGGCTGGACAGTAGAAGGACCCTGGGATGCCTGGAGGGGCTGGTGGAGTGGGTGGATGGGGAAGAATGGATGACCCCCCAGGGGCAGAAGTTGTCCCTTTGCTGGCTGGTATAGAAGACAGATGGGGAGGGGGTGGAGTGGAGTCTAAGGATGAAAAGGCCTGGAAAGCTGTGTGGATGGTCTAGCCTCCTTGTGTGACCTGAGAATGGTGCTGCTGGTTGGAGGGTGGCTTGTGTTCTTCGGGTGGGCAGCAGCCAAGTTGGTGTGTCCGGTGGTACCAAGCACTGTGGGCATTTGGTCCACGGGGTGCCATAGCAGCTGAGTGGCACTGCTGGCCCTACCTCCACTTCCCCCAACTTCCCCTGGGGACCTGGTATGAATAAGTCATAGCCTCACTGGTGGATGGGAACTGATCCTAAGGAAGAGGATGAGGTCCGGGGACACCTGGAAGACGAAGACCTTGGGTCAGAGGGACCCTTTCCTTTCTCGGCAGGGAGGCTGGCAGTGTGCTGGGCCTGGCCACATAGCCCAGGGTGCCTGCTGGGAGACCCCACCCAGAGCACAATCTAGAGTGACACTCAGGGGCCCTTTCTCCAAGCAGAGGACCTCCCTGGGATCAAGGCTGCTCTGGGGTCTCAGCATTGGCAGGATGAAGCCAGGATTTGGTCCTTTGGGGGATGTTGAACTGAGCAGAATTTGGCTTGGAAATGGGGGATTGGGCACTGCTAGAAGTGCTGTCTAGAGCAGGGGCCTGCAGGCTGGGCGTTGATGGATGTGTAGGTGTTGACTGGGCTGAGCAACTGGTGAGGAGGCCATCTTTTCTGAGGGGCGACTGGGGGAAACTGGGGAATCAGGAGACCAATGGGGGAAGCATGTGAGGCTGGAGGTAGGTCTGGAGAGCAGGTGCCTCCCTGGAAAGCCCCTCCCAAGGACCCTCAGGGAGGGGCTCTGGGGCTGCCCCAGGCCTCCTGAGAGCCTGAGCCAGCCCCCTCCCCTGCCTGCAGGTTGGCGCTCTACGTATATGAGTACCTGCTGCACGTTGGTGCCCAGAAGTCAGCCCAGACCTTTCTATCCGAGGTAAGCTGGCCCGGCCAGGCAGGTCCCCCTCCCACCAGCCAGCCTCTCCTCACCACCCACACCCTGGGATCCTCCCTACTCCATTTTTGTCAGGTCTCCAATGGTGGGGTCGGATTGTGCCCTGGAAACTGAGGGCTGGGACGGGTCAGGGCCCGCAGGCTGGTGTTCTGGCATCTGTTCATCCATCCGAGGATCTGCCGGCCGCTTCTCTGCCCCTGGACTCCCCAAGTTGCTCCCGACCTGGCTCCCTTGCTCTGACCCCCTGGTTTCCTGCCCCAGTATTCCCTGGGCACCGAGCTGGGCTGAGGCTGCCTCTTGGGAGGGGAAGGGGTCAGACAGGGCCAGGCAGCGAGCCCCTCACCTTCCTTCCCTCTCCCCTGCAGATCCGATGGGAGAAGAACATTACGCTGGGGGAGCCTCCGGGCTTCCTGCATTCCTGGTGGTGGTGCGTGTGAGGCTGGTGCGGGCGGGCCACGGAGTGGGGCTGGGTGGGGGCGAGTGGGGAAACCATCGTCCCCCCCTGCCGCCCACAGCGTGTTCTGGGACTTGTACTGTGCAGCGCCTGACCGCAGAGAGGCATGCGAGCACTCGAGTGAAGCCAAGGCCTTCCAGGACTATGTGAGTCCCCACCCCAGGGACTGGGACCAGGGCTTCTAGGTCTGGGTGGGGGGCCTGTGGCCTTGGGAGGCTGCCTGGCCTGAAGCTGGCTTGGGTGGGCAGGTCAGCCTGGCTGTGGGGTCCCTCTGCTCCTCATTTGGTCCAGGGTCACTCACAGGGTGGGGGTATCTCATTCTAGTGCACCCAGCTCCTGAGGGTCCCCCAAAACCTCAAGCCCTCCTGAGGTCAGCCTCTCCTTTGCTCCTCCTCACTGAACCCCATGTGGAACCGGGGAAGACTGAACCCCAGCTCCTGCCTCCCTGTCTGCCCAGCTCTGTGTATGTGGGACCCGGCTGGGCGGCCACTACTGCTTGTCCCCTCCCACCCCAGCCTTTCTGAGCCTTCTGAGGTGGGAGCCTAGGCAGGGCTGGTGAGGGTTGGCTAACTGCCCATGCACCCGGGAGCACTTGGCAAACCTCCCAACCTTGCTTGGTGACTGGGGCTGCCGGCTTCACCTCTTTCCCTGCAGGCTGAGTGGGAGTCAGAGGCCTGTCTGGAGAGGAGGGTGGGTAACATGAGGGGGCAGGCGGCACCTAGTTGTCATAGGGGAGCAGATGGCAGGCCCCTGCCTTTATCCTCTTCGCCCTGGCCTGGGGGTTTTGGCCACCTGGCCCCAGAGAGGTCTCCAGCAGATGAGGGAGGGCTCTGGAGCCCTGGGCTGTGGGCCTGAGGGGGAAGCAGTGGCTTAGCTGGCTTCCGGGGGAGACCCCTCTGCCCAGCCCCCTCCTCCCTGTGCACCCACTCTCCTGCAGCTGGCGCCTTCACATCCTGAGTCATCCGCCTGCTGTGCCCCTCTGGGCCTCCCAGGTCTCCGCTGTCCCCACCTCTCTCTCTCTGCAGTTGGCCAGGGTCCCACACCACTCACTGCCTCCCAGCAGAGAGGTCCCCTGTGCAGGGGTGCAGACCTCTACAGGGCCAGGGTGCAGCTGGATAAGTCTGGGGGTTCACCATGTCCCTGAAGACGCCCCATGCATGCTGTATGCTCGTTTATGGGAGCCGCCGAGGTCACTGCTGGTCGTCCCCATCGGGTCCCACTCTTCACGTTGCGGTCCCGCCAGAACTGGGGCCATAGATATGTCCGGAGCTGTGTCCGTGCGTGACTCCGCGTGGGCCCGGCTCTCCCCAGTCTAGCCCCAGCTCCTCGCTGCCCGTCTCCAGGGTCCCCTGGGCTCTGTTCCCTCTTCCGGGCTGCTGCAGTCCCCCCTTCCATCTCCGCCGCTGGCTTCGCCCCTCCCCTGCCCCAGCCTAGCTCCTCCAGGGAGCACAAACCGCGTCGTCTTCTTTGCTGTGCGGTCTCGCGCCGGAGTGAGCGCGCTTCCCGGGGGCGCGCGCTGGTTACCAGGGCTGCGGCGCAGCGTTAGGGGAAGGGGAGTGGCGCCCAGGCCCTGGGGTGGCAGGGTCTCTGTGTCCTCAGGCTGCAGCCGCTGCACGTTCTGCCCCGCCTCTGTGCTAACTGGGACTGGCAGGCGGGGTGAGGGGCGTCCTCCTCCCGCCCTTGGTGGCGGGCTCCATCAGCGCCTCTGGGCTGGGGGCCGACCTCCGCGTCGCCAGGAAACTAAAGCGCACCCAGCCCGTTGTCTTGGCAACGTGGGGCCGGGCTGGCGCCTCTGGGTAGATGATTGACTTGGGGGGTCCAGCTTGGGCCACTTGCCCGGGAGGGTGGGCTGTCCTGCCCTGGATTAACCCTTCAAGGGTTGGGGAGCCGCAGGGGGTGAGGGGTGCCTTATTTTCTCCCCGCCTCCACACCTCATGGTCGGGAGTCGGGCGCAGCTACCCCTACCTCCGCCCTCCCTGACCAGGAAATGCTCTGGCGCCTGCTGTGGCTCAAAAAGCCGGGCTGCCCTCCTGCCCCCACCATGAGGCATGAGGTGGAGGCGGCTGGACAGGCCCAGAGCTCAGAGCTGACCCCCCTCCAGTCACTGAGGCAGACGCAGAACTGCTCTAGGCCATCGGGCTGTGTTTGTGGGACAAGGTGAGGTGGAGGCCCGGCTCGGGTAACTCAGCAGTTTGGAGAGGGGCTGAGAGCTTTGTCCCTCCACACACAGGGTCACTTGGGCTTTCAAATGATTTGTGCTGCGCCCTGGGAGTGCTCGCACTGATACCCTCCCAGCTTGGGGCCAGGGCAGAAATCCTTTAGAGGCTGACCTTTGAGAAGGAGCAGGAAGGAGGGCAGGCTACGGCCCCCAAAGGGAGGGGTGTGTCTCCAGGGGCCCTGCTCTGACCCAGCCAAGGGGCCCCTTTCCTGCTCCTGTAGGGCAAGATGTGCTGTGTAACCATGGGAAAAGTGCTTAACCCCTCTGAGCCCAAGTGCCTGCAGTCCCACAAATTCCTGAGTGTCCCTGTGTGACACAGACAGGGGCAGTGACCCAGACAGACCATCCCCTTCCTCTTGGGGTCTGGCCTCGGAGGGGAAGGGGGGATGATGCACAGACAAGAGTCAAGGGACCCCAAGAGAAGTGCTCTCTCCTCAGTGCCTGCAGTGTCTTCCCCTTCCCTATCCTTGGATGTGTCCCCTCTGCCCTGCAGACTAGATTCCCACCCACCCCCTTCCCCCTGCTCTGTGGGCCCCACAGGCAGACAAGCCTGGGACTTGGAACTGACCAGAGGAAGTGGCCTGTCAGCTGTCCCCATGCCAACTCTGGGCCTGCCACCAGCATCTCTGCCCCTGGCAGATACAGGAACTCCCCTCTCAAGCACCCAGTCTCTCCACTTCCATCTGAAAAGAGGTTGGGGGCTTGGAGACCCCACTCCAGAATTCTGTTTCCTTCCCTTCCCTACTGGAGGAGGAGGGGGAAGTGGTCTGCACAGTAGCTCCAAGGAAGAGCCCTCTGAGAGGGAGGTTCATCTTGAAGCTGCCCATTGATTTTGTTTTTTGTCGGTTTATTTGAGGTGTCTTGGGGGCCCAGCTAAGCTGCCTCGCTAGCCAGGAGGACTTGGCTGGTTGGGATGGGCAGGGAATGGGGGACTGTGCCTCCACCCATCTGCAGTTAGATTCAGACCGAAAGAACAAGCCTGTGTTAGAAGGATGAGGCACACGCTGGAGTCCTGGGTGGATGGCATTTTCAGACCCCCAGAGTCCTCCGGCTGGGGACTAACTGGGGACTGGGATCCCTGGCCTCCTCCCTGGGCTGTGGGCTCAGCAATTCTGGGCTCTGACCACCTCCAGGGTCTCAGGTGCCACAGGAGGCAGAGCCCTTGCTGAAGGCCACCCAGCACATCTGGTTGCTAAACCTGGGTGGGGACAGGGGCAGAGGCTCTTCCCTCACCTAGAGCTCCTGCCATCCACTGTGCCCCTGGAGCCCAGACATCCTCCCATAAGTAGAGATGGCTCGGGTTCGTCATTCCTTGGGGCCAGACTGCTTGGGGAGAGGAGACACAGGCAGGGAGTGACCTGACTTGGCTCTTGCCATCTCCCCAACCCCTGCAGAGCGCTGCAGCGGCTCCCAGCCCAGTGATGGGGAGCATGGCCCCCAATGATGCAATGGCATCAGGCCCCATGGCACCCGGCTTCTTCCAGGTACAACCAGAGCTGGGGTCCCTGTCCCCGACCTGGGTGGGCTTGTGTCCGTAGGGTGACAGGCAGGGGCTCTGCCAGGGTGAGTGGGTGTGCACATGCCAGCCTTGGTAGAACCAGCAAGGGAGGGGCTGCATGGGCTGGGCCCTAGCGCAGGAGAGGGCAGGGTCTTTGTGCACTTGACCTGTGTGTGTCAGGGTGCCAGCAGCCACAGAACGTGGCTCTCTGAGCCATGGGTCCCGCCCATGACCCTTCCCATGACTCTACCCTTAGGGCTGACCACACTTCCCACTCCAGGCTGTGGGGCAGGGCTAGTTGGCCTACTCACCCGCCTCCACGGTCTCCTGTCCCCTCCCCTTCCTGGCCAGGCTCAGCAGAGCCACAGCAAACTGTGGAGCTTCGGGTGACCTCACTCTTACCAACCCACATGGTTCTGTCCTCCTGGCTCCCAGCCTTCCCCCCACAACCCCAACACCCCTATGATAGGGCCTCACATTCAGGTAAGGACCTGTGATGTCCCTCCCCCTTAAACAGTCACTGCCCCACCCAGTCCCATTGCTGTCCCATGCTCCCACACACCCAGGTGCCAGCTGGCTGAGGTTTACTGGCTGGTCCTGGAGCAAGGGGTATCCAGGCTAGGGGACTGGGCATAGCAGGAACTGGGTAGCTTTGGAGGGTGAGCAGGTGGGGGGAGGTGCTGATCTCCGGCCCACCTCTTCCAGCCCTTCATGTCACCGCGGTTCCCAGGGGGCCCCCGGCCCACCCTGCGGATGCCGAGTCAGGTGAGAGAGGGATGAGGGGAGGGTGGGCAGGAGTTGGGCCAGAGTAGGGGCACCCACACTTAATGCTGTCACGTCCCCTCTGCAGCCTCCCGTGGGCCTCCCTGGCTCCCAGCCCCTCCTCCCTGGCACCATGGACCCCTCCCCGCGTGCTCAGGGTGAGTAGGGAAGCTCCAGCTGCTGTCCCCCCAAACCCATCAGGACCCCAGTTCCAGTTTCCTGCTGCCTCACTGCACAGGAACACCCCCCACCACCACAGTGCATGTTCACATGGGAATGGGCCCAGCCTGAGCCCTCCTTCTGTCCTCAGGGCACTCGAGCATGGGCCCACTGCAGAGGGTGACACCTCCACGGGGCATGACCAGCGTTGGGCCCCAGGTAAGAGCAGGGTCCAGGGGGAAGGGGAGCTTGAGGGGCTGCCCTCTCTTGGCCGTCACTCATAGCCCTTGTGCCTTCACAGAGCTACGGAGGTGGCATGCGGCCCCCACCCAACTCTCTTGCTGGCCCGGGTTTGCCCGCCATGAGCATGTAAGGCCCTCAGGGACCCTTGGGGGTGTACCCACGTGAGCCATCACCCAGCTTCCTGGGCTGGGTATGCTGGGGCAGACCCAAAAGCCAACAACAGCCCCGGATATTGTTTACTCCACTCTTGGGTGGAGAGACTAAGGCTCAGAGGCCAGTGAGTGATGGGTTGGGATTTGAAGGCAGGCCTGGAATCCCTACATGGTTACTTCTCAGCCAACATCTGCTCTAGGGGCATGGGGTTGGGGGGTGTACTGCCTGGCTTAAGACCCAGGGTCTACCACTGTCTCTTCCAGGGGACCCGGGGTGCGTGGCCCGTGGGCCAGCCCCAGTGGCAACTCGGTGAGTGTTGGGATGGGGTGGGTGGTTAGGAGAATGTGCTGTGGTATGGGGCAACTGCTCACAGCTGCTCCTCTCCCCAGATCCCCTACTCCTCCTCCTCCCCTGGCAGCTACTCGGTGAGTGAGGCCAACACTGGGCAACTCGACCTGGGGGCAGGGATTGTGGGGTGGCAGATGGGGAGCCTTTCTCACCTTCTCTGTCTCCCTCTGTGTGCAGGGACCCCCAGGAGGAGGTGGGCCTCCTGGCACACCCATCATGCCCAGCCCTGGAGGTACGATGGTCTGGCCGGGCATAGGGAGGGGTGTTCTCTAATGAGGCCCCCTCACACC